CTTCCAAGAGGCCTTTAAGAAACCCCGCTTAAAATAATGCAAGTAATTCAATATTACTAATTTTTTACTTATCCTTCCTCCTACAAGAGGAGAGGCTCTGGCAATAACAGTGTTGGCAGTTCTCTAAATTTACACAGTTGCAATCAATACACTCTTTTCACCATAAAAATAAACTGGAACTCCAGTATTCTCTGTTCATAACAAGAACTTCTATAAAAACTTTTACTTACAGAAACTCATTGATAGCCAAGAACTGATACTTTAAGCATTTGTATCTCGGGAATGCTACCAACTGACAAAACTACCTGGAACAGCGTTCTAACCATTTACTGTACTTGTGGTTGGAGATCTGCAGAGTAAGAGGTGACTAGCCTTTTATTTATTTATTAATCATACTGTACAACATTAGCAATCAACCACTTCCTATTTGCAAGCTAATTTAGAAACCACCTTCTCATCTGAAAGACTAGATAACAAATGTAAAGTGTAATATAGCCAAACTGTTAGTACTTAAGATGAAAAAAAGCATACTGAGTTTCTGTATCCAGGACAGCATCACTGAAAGAGACTTAAGCTCACAGGAACATGAGATACTAGTTTTTAGTGGCCTTTTCTCAGCTGTTTCAGAACTGGGTTGAAGGCTACCCAAAAAGGATAAGGATATTCACATTTCTCTTTACAGGATATAGACATTTACATATATTTATCTTTTCCCCCTCCCAGCTTCAGAAGCAGAACCAGCCAACCACAAATGCAACCAGCAGTCACGGATGCTGTAAGGATGTAGGAATGAAGCACTGTGCTGGGAACTCTCCATATGCTCAGATAGACACCTCCTCAGTCATCTGCAAGAGGACTTAGATTCATCAGTTAATAAGAGAATTACCAGCTGTTTAAAGGCTGTATTTAAGAGAACACACTCTTTTCCTTAATCTCACCTCACTTCCGACTGATCCCACTGGCTTTACTACAGGTTTTTGGAAAGGCAAGACTTAAATTTCCATAGGAAAAAAGGGACAACTGAGTATGAACTACGCACATGAATTCTGCAAGAGCAGGTCATGACCTGGTATATTAAACCATCTGATTCAGTTCAGCCTGAAAGTTTGCAGGCTGAGCTGGGAGCTGTGTTGGCTGAGAAGCCTCCGCAGAGTCCATCACTATTTCTGTAACGCAGATGACGAACCTCTGCAGAGGAAGTAGGCAATTAGCTGGGAAAGCAGCCTCTTAAGCTGAGCTGCCAGAGCAGCTGGAGGCTTGTTTCAGTGCTGAGAAAGCAACATGAACTACTCCTGGAAGAGGAAGGTATATAGCAAAATGGAGATGTGTAGCTAACAGATAATCCACCAACTTCTGCATATATGTCTTAGATTACTTGGAGATGTAATGTAAGAAGATAACAGAATGGGAAAGTTAGTTATGTTCAGTTCTCCTCTTCGTTTTGTACCTGTAACCTGTCAGAGACAATGACAAACTGCCCCTCTCCCATGAAAACATGAAACCTCAAAACCCACTCAACCTTTGGCCAAAAGAAGCTTGCACTTCAGACCAGGTGACAGTGCCTCTCAGAAGCAGTGAGAAACATCACTAAATACCACAAAATGCCCTTCTGCAGCAATAGAAGTTTAAAGTGCAAGCTGTTAAATAATACAAAAAACATTTAAGTAAGAAACGAGTCTTGGTCAAAGCCACATAACTGATTAACATAAATTCACATCATCTCTACATCAGCCAAACTAAGAGAGCTAAGATGTACCAGCATTTCTCAACTGTGCTTCTGGAGACCCCAGTGGGATTTACAACTGCAGCTTACAGTCTCTTGACAACTAATAATTCTCACAAACAAACCTGCCTGCATGCTGAGGCCACTACCTATACACAGCCTTGAGCAGGCATCTGAACTTCAGAACTCACTGGCAATCAGCCTTGATGCCTTCCACAATTGCTTTCATGGTTCCATGATAATAAAAAGAAGTTCAGGCCACAGTTTCCAAAGCCCAAGGAGACAAAAGGAGACTGCTTGAAGCCCACACTTTACATCACATTGATGAGTATGGACAGCAAGACTGCAATTTCCACCATGGGGAGATAATTCCACAAGATGAATAGGTTTTCATACTTAATTATGCCACAAAGCAGTTTATTTGACCCCAGCATAAGGTATCTTCTGTTTCAGCCTGAAAATATAAGAAAAAAATCTTTCTGGCTATTAAAGGTGAACACCAGATCACAGACAAGATACAGCAGCTGACAAAATGCATGTGTTTCCACAGACACCGCTCAAGAAGAGGTGCTAAAGCACAAATACAGCATTTCAGGTAGCACTTAAGTATATTTCGAGGCCATGACAAACAGCTCAAGAACCTATGGCTAATAGTAGCATTGCCACTAAAATTGCCCCATCCTCTCCCTGTCCAGGATCACTGACTCTCACTTTAGCAGAGACCTTACCTCTGCTTGCAGAAGTATTCATGTAAGTCAAGTAGTGAATTAGAGCCTATCACTAGAGACATGAAAAAAGAACACAGGACAGCTTTTTTCCAATAGCATGCCAGCCCAAACATTCATGTAGCTACAATTGTAGAATGCTACCACCTTTATTTTCATCTCTTTTTGCTCTCCTCCCACCCCACCACTTTATCTTAGAGGAGACACACCTGAACATGCACATGGTTGCTCATATTCAGCTTTCTCATATTTTTACATAGGGAAGCTATCTACTTTAATAACAATAAAAAAACCTTCTTATATTTTCATAACATTTACATTGCTAATCTTTAAATTTGTATGTAGGTGATTGACTACTGCATGCTACTGCTACCTGTTCTTCAAAGCTGAAAAGAGATAATTCTATATATCACTGTTTATTGAGAAGCTGTTTATGGCTGGTATACGTGCACTGAATTACGTGGTACTTACAAACCAGTACTTTGGTGTAAAACATGATTTGTAAGTTATGTCACAGGTGATTGGCAAGATGCCTAGAGGCACACAAAGACGACTGACTGGATCTAGCAACACTTTACAAATTAGTGATGATTAATCCATCTTTCCCATCTTCCCACGTATAAAACCTTTGACCCTAGAGAGTAGTAGAATCCAGTTAACAGACCAAGTAACTGGAAATGTTTTGATGATTAGGCTGAATTTCCCCCTAATTAGTATTACAAAAGCATGCTCTCTCATGCATGCTTGTGATGAAGCAACTCAAGCAGTCCAGACAACCCTAACTCCAGCTTCCAAGAAAAACCTTCCACTGAGCCTCACGTTTTTCAGATATGGGCACACTAGTTGCCTAGCAAGAATCAAAAGCCACAATCAGCAGCATAAGCCAGGTAGCTACTGAGCCCACCATCACACCAGCAACACAAATCTCCAGCCAGAGTTCTCTCTGATCCCCCATTTCCACTGTAATTCCTAGCAATAAGGTGAGGTGGTTATTTTTATGTATTTATACACACACACACACTTCAATGTAGTCTAAAAATGCCTAGTTCAACTTACTGGGTTCCCTGCTTGACATTTTTCTGCTTAACAATATTCTGTTAAGAAGCTCTAGGACTGGAACACGCTTCTGGCTGTGCAATTTACAGACCCACACAAAGTCTCCACATGCCACTAAGCCATGCTATTCTCCTGGTTGTCAATGACAACACCAAACAGAAGCTTCAACACTTCTGTATACACCTTGAGACAAAATCCACTGCAGGCTTCTGTTGTTTTCTTTTTTGTACTGACACGAGTTTCTATTGCCTCCCACACGAGATACATGGAGCTATATATAGATATGTATATGTGACTATAGTGATGATCGTATCACCATTCAAAGCAAAGAGGAGTTGTTCTATCACCCTGATACCTGGGGAGCAGAAAAAACAATAATGCCCAGATAAGCAGCTTTTCAGCACCTTAGGAGCACTGACAAAATTTGCTTACAGCTTGTCTGACATACAGTTTGTCTATCATTGTAAAAAGCTGTGGACTAGCACTCATTACTCAAAAGTTTACTCCTGTGCCAAAGAGCTGCTATGCTCATAGGTTTAATCACACCCCATAAAATTCTAAAACTCCAAGCTAGTACATTTTATATGTAGTTGAATTAATCTACTTAATCATTCAGGTTTTTTATTTGTGCTGGTCTTCACCTCACTTTAAAGACTCATCTGATCACTCAGCAGTCATTGCAGCTGCTTTTCCCTTTTCTCATGGATGTCTGCAGCTTCTCCCGTTTTTTCAAGATACACGGCAGCACAGCTGCTTACACCTACGTACATTTTGTGAATACTCCCCGAGAAACCAGGTTTCTAATGAATTCCTGTGGCAAGCTGGGGGCAAGACATTACTAAATACTCACACACAAGAGAAAGTAAAGGAAGAAGAGGTCATTTTTCAGTGCAGTGAAAAAGAAAAAAAAAAATCAGTCTACCAGGTTTCTCTTTCAGGAAGTTGCCCAAGAATGCAATTAAAACCACAAGAAACAAACCATGTTTTAGAATTATATGAGGGCATAAGAAAGAGGGAGAGAAATAAATCACACTGAGGCCTCTAATCCATAAAGAAATATTATTCCCCAGTTTTAAGGGACATCTGACATTTTAACACCTATTCATCAGCACAATAGCACCTCCAAAGGTTTAATTTCTCTGTGAAGATCCTCCTACACCGCACACTATTGAGCCAAGAGATCGAGCACCGTTTTAACCAAGAGACAAACTGCTCTCTCCTGAGGCGTACTCTGCATTTCCAAATCTTCCCAGAACTCAGTACACGAAGGATGCTCCTATATTAGTCTAAAGGGAGCCAAGGTCAGAGGTTTTAGCTAACCTGCTTCGGCACATAATGCGATGCCACCAGATCTATCCAAATCCTGTTTCACTATCAGGATGTCACCCTCTCCTTCCCAAACGGCTAAAAACGCCGCTCCCCTGTTACTCTATCAGTCGACATGCAAAGAAAATTTCATTACTAACTGAATTTTGATTTTTATTACTTCCATTTAGTAGGAGAACAGCAAGCTCCCTCTCACAGCAGACAGAAGACAAGAACGAAGCGAGGAACTCGCAGTTTCCAAGCTCTCCCAGCGCAGCCGGTGCTCGGGCAGTGCCGCCTCTCCCGCACCGCCCGGGACGCGGCGGCGATGCTGCGATCCCGCCCTGCCGGGGCACGGGGACACGGGGGCTACCAGCCCCGAAACCCGCTTCCTACGGGAGGAAAACCCTCCAGCTTTCAAAAAACCAACAGGCGGGAGGAGAAACTCACCGAGCCAGCAGCCCCGCTCCCGCCACAGCGCCCACGCTCCGGGCACTGGGAAACTTGCGGGAGCCAGGTAACAGCGCACCCGAGGAGCCGCCGGAGCGACCACCGCGGACCCGGGGTGTCAGCAGCGAAACTTTGGGTGCCCCGGTCCGGTCCCCCCCAGCCCACCCGTGTCCTCCCGCTCCGCGCCCGGCACGGCGGCCCCGCTGGCCCCGCTCACCTCGCTCACCTCTCTCACCTCTCTCACCTCTCCCGCCGCTCCGCGCCCGCCCCGCCGCTGCCCCTCCGCCCGCACGGCTCGGCCGGACCGCGCCGCCGCCGCCCGCCCTTTATGGGGCCCGCGGCCGCCCCGCCCCGCGCCGCGGGCCCGCCCCGGGCACGGGATGCACGGCCCGAGCCCGCCCCTCCCTCCCTGTGCCGGGCCGGGGAGCCCCGGGTACCCCCGTGGAGTCCCTTCGCCCAGGCTTGTGCCCCTGCCCCGGGGACCCTCCCCAGCCCCACCGGCTCGGCGGGAGACGCGCCAGCCGCGGCGGGGAGAAGGGGGAGCCGAGGCAGCAGTGCCGGTGCCCATCCCAGGGGTGGCGAGGGGACAGAGACCACCGAGGCCAAATGCAGCAGCGTCCCCCAGCACCATGAGGCTCCTTCCTGGCCAGTGGCGTGGTGGGAGATTGGACGATTTCGGCCAAAGGGGCACCTCCTCTCATCACCCACCACTGCACCCACGTCCTCCAGCAGCGAGGACGAGGAAATGGCTCAGCCAAGGACCTCGGTCCCTCGTATGGCACTGGGGTTTTAATCTTCACAAACCGTGCAAGGGATCTGAGGCAAGCTGCTGCTCCAGCATAATGGCACAGGCATGGGCACAGCAGAGTGGCAGGACAGTAGTGTAATCTCGGGAAAGCACGTGTGAACCTTAACACTGACTGACAGCCCTGGACTGACAAAGCACAAGAAGCAATTTCTACTCGTCGTACCAAAACGGTGCCGCTGCTGACTTCTGAGAAACGGGCAGTGTGTTGGTCCGGCAGTGGACAATACTGCCTTGTTAAGTCATTCTTTCTGCTCCTATTTTGCAAAACATTTTTCATGCATGGCACAGTCCAGCTTTGAAGAAACAGGATGAGTATGCAATAAACCACATTTCTTCCCTCAGGAGTTTGGACTCTTCTGGATAAAAAAATCAAAACAACCCATCTCCTGGCATGAGCTGGAGCAGCAGCAGTGGCAGCTGCTCTTGGTCTTTATGGTGGAGAGCCTTGTGTTCATCAAGGTGGGCTCTCTCGGTGGAGGGCCCCTGTGCCTGGGCAAAACCAAAATGCTGGAAAGAGGGATGAGGGAGGTGGCACAGCGTGGCCATACACGGAGGCAGGGAGCTCAGCCTTATCCAGGACAGGAGGAATTTGGCTGAGACAAGGCGCTGGCACCAGCAGGCAAAGATGTCCAGGAACGGCTTCTTTGTGGGCAGCACTAGCTGCTGGACATTTCTTAGGCTACTTACTAACTAGCTCAAGTTTCTTATTTTAAAGTTTGGCTTCTTTTCCAAAAATGTTTCATGCCATCTTTCCTACACAGATCCATTTCTGAGTTGAGAATAGAGATTAATTAAAAACAACAACAACAACAAAACCCACCTGCCTTTTGCATGATTTTTCACGTTAGCAGAGACAACCTTTGAGCATCCATTTTCTCTCAGGAACAAAGACAGAAAGCTGTGTAGACCATGTCAGATCTCCTGCCCAACTGCTTAGAATCATGAAAATTACATGGAAAAATATAATTGAGTGGGTTTAGGATCCTTTTGGTACAATCTGGTTTATGGAAAGGCAGCAGAAGAGCCAGACCCTGACTAGCTAGCTGAACTCAGATCTTGGGGCAGAACCCTGGTTCTAGTCTGAAAGGCTGAAAGGCTGAAGACCAACAGTCAAGCCCCCAAATAGCCTCAGCTTGGATCTGAAGCCGTCCTTTGCACATGGAAACTTTATAGTCTGTGTTCAGTAGAAATGAGACAAGGATAAAGTTGCATTCCAAATGATTTCCATGAAATAGGCTCAGTTTTGATTACACCCAGTTTGGACAGCACAGTTCCAATCCAGTGAAACTGGAGCTAAAGAGTAGGAGCCTCCCTTTAGTTGTTGCCGTGTAGCCCAGAGCTCATTCAGTTTCTATCTGTCGACAAGCACCTCCCACCCAGGCAAGAAATCACTTTCTCCTCCTTAACAAGTTATTTGAGTGATCAAATTTGTGCCCATTGAGTAGTTAACTAGTCACACTTTTTGGAAAGAGGCACCACACCTATTAAGTACTTAGCATCAACAAACAGCTAATTTGTGGAAATTCAAGCATGAGGCAAAAATAGTTGAAGCCAAGAGGAGTTTGGGGTGAAGCTGCATGAGACTGGCTCACCCAACCAAACAGCTGCCAAAAGGGGAGCACTACCATCCCCTCCTTTTTCCCCTATCCCTCTGAGGGTCTCAGAGCCTCACCAGCTCTGCTGCTTGCCCAGTCCTTGTGTGACCCATCTCATCCTGGCAGGGAAGAAAAACAACACTGAGCCTTTATTTCTGAATTTATTCTCTGATTCCTTTAGGTGGGATACACTTGGTTGCTATTGAAATTAATTTCATAGATAAGTACCTATGCACAGAGATGAAAGATGAGAGTACATGAAAGCAAAATTCACTGACAAGTTGCATCTGCTGTGAGGCTACACTTTAAAGCACAGAGGTTCTTCAGATGGTATCTCACCTTAGAAAGGGCAGATTTCAAACCATACACCACATTGCTAATGAGGATACAGGAAATCTCATCCATTTTTTCCACTTGAAGCAAAACATCTTTTCCCACAAAGGGAAATGTTGATGTTTCCCTGTATGATTTAGGTTTAAAGAGGAAGCTGACAGGCTGAAAGTCACAGTGAAATACAAAAACTGGCTCCAACACAAACAAGCCTAAGCTTGACAAAATAGGCCGTAGTTTTAACAAGCAGCTTAAGAGAAGACCAAGGCGGAGGCCCTTAATGAAATCTAATGCCTTTTGAGGCCAAAAATTTTAGAGCAGCGTTTCTCAAGCAGTTCAGATTGGAAATCGCATATAAAAGAGAAAAAAAAAAAAGCTTTCCAGTTCCCATACGTGTTTTGTAAAGCTAAAGTAAAAAAATTATGGTAAAAGTGATAAGCCTATAGAATTTATTGTTTCATGTATGGTTTTGACAGGTTGCCAAGAGAATGGTGCTGCTCTATGGAGAGTGGAAGAAAAGACATTTTCTTTGCTTTAGATTGTTATAAAATTTTCAGTTTTTTACAAGCCCCCAGATGGTTTTTATAACCCCTTCAGGGGTTGCAACATATTGACTGAGAAATACCGATTTATATAGCAAACTCCACTCTCTCATTGCTGGCAAAAAAATTACTGCTTTGTATATGTGTATACACACAGTGGCTGAATATAAATAAAAGCCCAAAAATAATGAGATCTGAGGCAAAATCCACCACCTGGTAGTACATTAAGTTGGATCAAATTTCCCTAAATTTACACTGGTGTAAAAGGAGGAATATTTGGCCCTAAATCTTTTAGGTGAACTCTGAATTGAGGATTAAAAAGTTTGTACTCTGTTTCGCCGTGCAAACATAGCAGATTGCTGGTTGCTTTCATTGGTGGCAGGAATGGGGAAACATTTCCAATCAACAAATCTCCTGTTTTTCATTGGCTTCCATTGTGTTCATCTGAAGTGTTTTAACTGAAAATTATTGGTGACTTGGGACACAGTAAGCTTGCAACAGAAACACCACAGTGAGTGACCTTAGCACCTCAGGAGGAATGGCTCTGAAGTGCTTTGCCTGTAATGAATAAAGTAAACAGTGCTTTTACTCAAGTAAACAGTGTTCAGTTTTTGAGTTTGGAAGACCACTATAATGATCTGTATTTTGTACATCCACGAGGGTATAAGGCTATTCTTACTGAATGGTGACTTCCCAAAGTATGTTTAAATCTCGGAGTAGGCCATGAAGAGCTCATATCCCTTGGGTGACTAAACCTGTGCTTTTGCTTTTGCCCACAGGTCCTGTGCAATCAGGCTGGTGGCTTGGCTCTAGTCACTGCTGAGACTGCTTGGGTACAAAATGCCATGGGATCTGGTGCTGTGCTCCTGCACACAGCTAGGGAGGGGGTGGAGCTCCATTCTTCCCATACTGCAGGGTTAGGTGGTCACTTAGAGCATGGGGCGTGTGAGTTTAACTCCCCGGAAGGCAGGAGGAGAGTTGCTGGTGTTCCCAGGAGAGGTCTCTATCTACCCTGTCTGAGGCTTTTCTGGAGCAAGGGAGAGCTCTTCATTTTGGTGCCTTCCTTCTTTGCATTAAAGAATTAAAAATGCATTTGATCAGGCAGAAGGAAAGGAAGAGCATGGCACCATAGCTTCATATTTAAGTCATCCTTTGGGAGGGTGGAGACTGCAGTTCTGCTCCCTGCTTGCCAGGCAGAATACTTTTGTATTTTACATTAATCAGCCAGTGAATAAAATACATGAAACAACCCTTAGGCTGGACAGAAACTTTAACTGATATCCTTGTACTCAGCATCTCCTCTGCTCCTTTGCATTGCAATATCTCGCCCGCTTCTTGGAGCTGAGCCTTAACCTGTGCCCTGTAGCTCTGCACGGGGAAAAGCAGAACTGCTGCACTAAACTTTCTGGCAGTTTTCATTATGCAGATTTTAAAACCTTTAGATCACAAACTTTCTCTGTCAAGGCACGCACGCAGCTCCCAGCTCCTTCTGCCCCCGTCTCATCTGAAGCCGTCTCACGCTGATTTTAAGGAAGCAGCAGTGAGCTGCTTCCAGATTACCTTGGATTTGTGTGGATTTGGGGCTAAGCCCCATCAGCAAAGCTGCTGCTTAAACTTTTGCACACTGTGTTTAAGTTTGTAGGACCCAAGTGACCAGAGCTGGCGAAGTTGTATTGTTGGTTCAACTATTTCTGCACACTTGGACAGCTGTTAAAAGAGCAGGCAGCAGAACAGCTCCAGACCTGAAAGAAGGCAGCAAAAGCAGACTTGGCAGAGGTAAAAAAGCAAAGGCAAGTCAGCTGGCTCGGGGGAGGCAAGTCAGAGGAGCGAGCCTAAAGCACAAACAAAGCAAATGGCAGCCTTGGGGCTGGCCCAGGTCCTGGTGAGGCAGAGCTGAGCCACCAGCCAAGGCATGGCCGGGTTCCCAAGGCCGAGAGAGGCGTATGTCGGCAGCGGGGTCAGCAAGGGAGATGATGTGAATGAATGCCACAATTTTTTGGCTGAAATTTGCCTGTTACTTCAGGCTGGAAATGCTGCCATTTGCCACTGTAAATACCCTATTCAAAAACATGAGTTCTGTGGCACTCAGCTGAAGGACAACAGATCTCTTCTGCAACTCCTCAGCGCTAGGAAAAGCCAGTGCTGCTGCGTCAAGCCTAAATTAACTTCCCTTGGTGTGGGCAGGATGTAGCGCTTAAACTCCTTTGACATGCATTTCCTAGGGACAAATGGCAATTCCCTCTGTGGCCCATCATTTACTATCTGCATAAAAGCAGAAGGAGATGATTAGAGTGGGGAATGAACTTGCTCCTGCTATATTTAGTGCCCTGTCAGCTCAGCCTATAACATTTTGCTATTCAGTTGTAAATAATACTCTAAGGAGGGGAATAAAATGGGGAATAAAATGAAAATCAAACTTGGAGAAGCTGGTATAAAAAGAAAAAAAAAAGTCCATAGGTCCAGAACACAGAGGAATAAGCCTTCTACTTGTGTTTCAAAGCAGATGGTGGTGGTAGTG